GCACTGAAAACTCTAACCCTAGCGGATTGCTTCTTCTGTGTGGAATTAGCTTGTTCCTTGACATGCAGTCACTCATTCCCAGTGGTACAGAGCATGATTGTATCATTTGTGTGTGTGTTTATGTGTGTTTACGTTACAGCCAGTGAGGCGCCTGCGCAGCGTCAGCATGCCAGGGGAAAACCCTCAGACCTGCATTGCTGCCTTGGAAACCTCCAACAACTACCTCAGGCCTCCTGCGGAGAGATTGCCCTCCATCACTCAGTCCATTAAAAGGTTAGACACACACACACACACACACACACACACACACACACACACACACACACACACACACACACACACACAGGGGTATATAAAGAGAACTCCTCTGTCCTCTCTTCCTATTTTCTCCAGCTGCTAATTTCCTCTTTCTGCTTCTGCAAGCAAAATCCATAATTCTAATAATTCCTCAACTAAACTATTAGATGCTTTTTCTTCCTTTCAATTAATCCTGCTCTCTTTTTTCTCTTTCCCCCCCTTTTACTTTGGCCTTGCTTTTTTCTTTTTTCTTTCCCTCTTTGTCTCCCTTCAAACCTCTTACTCCGATGTGAACGTAGTGAGAAAAGGGTGCACTTTGAACGCATCAACACCGTTCCCCCAAAGGGCCAGAGGAGCCCCAGGAGGGTGTCAACCATCCGAAGGCGGTCCTGTATCCCCAAGATACTGACCCGGCGGCGTTCATCTATACCAAAACAAATCATCAGGTACATGAGAGGTGAAGTAGGGGGCCAGGATAACAGCGAGTAGAAGCTGTTAGTTGACTTTTTTGACTAGTGGTAGATTATTGGGTTTCAGCAAGCTCCAGGGATGCCAGCATGGACTTACTTAGTTGAAACATCTTGTCATGTGAGTCTTGACTCAGACTTTCAGGTGAAAAGCTACTGCTTAACCCGTTGCAACACAAATTCTATCCTTTAAACTACTCACCTGATCTAAAACAGGACCTGAAAATGGGCTTTCAGCACAGGTTCGATTTCCTAAATCCCAAAGACAAAGCCCAAAAGGAAGTAAAGGACTCCAGTTCTCTGTCACTCCACTTGATTTGCAGTATGATGAAAGGTTAATATGGGTTTATTTTTTTTGTCCAGTGATGCTAAAAACATGTTTGTTGCTTAATGTCTAATCCAGCCTTAACATGGAGTAAAACAGCTAAACTGAGACTGAAAGCTGGTGGACTAACATACAGACATCAAATAACTACTGAGTCTTCAAAACAGATGCTATTTGCTTGTAAGATCACACCTTTAACTCCAAAGGTGACATATCTGTGTTGTGTTTGTGCTTTATCTTTAAAACATGTTGAAATTCTCAGTAAAAATGGAGCTGATTTGTGAAGCATTTATAGGCTATATTGAAAATAATAGAAATAAATTAAAAAATGATTTTCTTTTGAAATGTTCGTGTAAGATTTGATACATTTTATGATGATGACATGTTTATCACCCAGAACGCTTCATGTCATATTTATATTTACATTATATTATGGCAGTCATCATTTATGAATGCAAAAATGCTATTTTATGTCTGTCAAAACTGTTTTACTTTTGGCATTTTTCTTTGATTCAGCCAAAGAAATTGGAACAAATTATGTGTTCCTTACTTAGAAGGCTGTTAGTAAGTGTCCAAAGATACAGTTTACAATGGGTTACTGCTAAGTTGTCTGTTACGTGTAGAAACAACACTGGTCCATCCTTTGAGGTACGTGCCTGTTTTATGCTTGAATGACTCATAAGTCAGTGTTAAGTGGCTTTACAAACAAAAATATTATTCATCTGAAAATGGTCAGATACAAGGATGGGACTGAAAGCAGCCAATGAAAGAGCCTGAGAAAGCCCAGAGAAGAACACTTTAAAAAATGATAGGAAAAGTCAGTCTCCTTGGAAGCAAAATATAAAGAAATGAGGGGTGACTCATGAGTTTTGCTCAGTACTGTATGACAGTACTAAACTGGCCTGCCTGCAGTAACTGATACATTATTAAATATGACAGCGTTGAGCGGCTGAAACTGCGTGTCAAGCAATAACTGTGCAAACGTGTTTTTCAAAACTAACTTTGGTTCACACTTGATGCAACACAAAGAAAAACACATTACTGTCCCAACGTCTTTTCCAAAAAAACATTAAGATGTACAAGTTTCAGCATTTAATGTGTTGTCTTTGTTATGTTTTCAGTTGACATGGTGGTTTAAAAGATTTTCAAACTCATTGGTCACATTTTCTTCATGCCACAGCTGCGAGGGTTTGTTGGTGTCAGTCCAGGTCATACACAGGACCACATGGTTTGTAGGAGACAACATAACACAAACGCTCATTCTGGCTATCTTACGTGCGTCATACCACTTCAAAGCGGCTGCTTAAACAGAATTAAATTAATGTAAACGTTTGAAGACGGAGCCGCAACTCAAACCTGCAGATACTCTTCAAAAGAGAGTGTCCTAATGTCCTAATTTCATCTTGCAGAAATGTATTAGCTTTTTATTTGCATTTGTGGAAGAAGCACAGGACGCGTTTGATGTTCGTGAGAGAATTAATGCGATTGTATGTGACTCGTGGAGGTTAGCTGAGGTCCCTCCTCCGCAAGAGTTCACGAATCCATGCTAAATCTTTACTATTCAAACAAAGCACGTCTCTGAGTGTGATTTGTTGTGTGCTCGCGGGGTATCTTGGAGGACACCCTGATGTTTGTTTATCTGGAGGACAAGCGGAGCGCTCTTTATGGGTCATTATTCATGTTAAGGAGGCCACAAAATTAAACGGTAGATAACTTTGCCATTCACCGCAAGTTCACACGCTCAGTTTGACTTCCTTAAAGAAGCTCACGCGAGTTTCTGAACTGCAGAGCACGTTGGGGTTTTAGCTTGGAGCGATGAGAAAATAAACCTCTCCGGTAGTGTGTGTATATACAGTATGTGTGTATGTGTCATGTCCAGGCATGTCCAAGGTGCACTCCCTTCATCGTTTCTCCCTCCTAATGCCCATGATGATCTTTCTTCTCTCCCTCCTTCTAACGTTCCATTTCCTGTGGTATGTTAGAGGGAGAACTGGTGTTTACATTCACTCCTGCAAAACAAGGCAGAGACACAGGCCGGCAGAGGGAGAGGAGACTCACTGATAGAGATCGTTGGGGGCTGTTGATGTGGGGAAAATGTTCAGTTTGACGAGGACCAGCATCGCTGTCTTTTTTGCCCAGTAGGTCACATCCTTTCATGTGAGCTCTTAAGGAGGGACGTCTCCAGACAAATTAACGCTCTTTGTCGGGTACGGAAATTTAGGCTGTGTGTGCTGGTGACACAAGTTCAGAAAACAAAGATCCACCCACTCATTGTGTGTTATATAGTCCAGCTGGATGAAATTGGAAGCTCTCTGTGGATTTCTTTTCACATCATGATGTGGACATCAGCCTCCCGTCTGACTGAGGAGTTTAGCACTGGATTCTCTCAAACTTTGATTAACCAGGAGAGCACAGTAGAAGAAAGGGATGTTCAGCAGACTCCAGACATGTGCTGATCCTCCGCTCTTTGCTTAGCGGTGACGTAGAGCTGGCCTGGATATCAGGAAATCCCCTTATGGAACATTGTATGTGGGATTTGTGAAGGATCAGTTTGTATTTGGCAGATTGAGGTTTATTAGGGGTCAGGGGCTAAGCGGGGACAGTACTGGTGATGGAGATCACTCAGCTCCAGAGTCCCCAGCCCAATCAGGAATGAGCCATACCCTAAAGCCCTCTTGGAGATTTCAGGACAGGTGAGTGCGCTGAGGCAAACTGGAGCAGAGCAAAACATCTGGCTCAGCACGAGATGCTTTGGAAAGTCAGTGAAAATTCTCAACAAAGCACTTGTTCTGTCTTTGAGGGGATTAAGATTTTCTCAAAATTAACTACAGGATTTAGAGTCACTAGCAGCTCACATTTTAAATTGCTTTCAGTCTTATATGTTGAGTTTTACGGAAGGGTTTGTGATTGCCAGCATGTACATCTCATCTGTTTTATGCCATCTCTTTAAACATAGGAAGTTTTGAAGCTTTGAAGAGAATAGTTCTGAAAAAGTGGCTTATTTGCTTTGCTTTAGGAAGTTCAGTAAGAAGACTGATAAAAGCTGTCATATATGTGGGATAAATATAAATTAAACTGTAGCCAGGAGATGATTAACTGTGATCTAATCAAAGTGTATAATAATTGGTTACTAGCGTAACCCACTGCCACTGAAACAGCTCTGTTCAGTGGTAGCATATCATTTTTGTTATTTAGCTGTCTATGGAAGTTAAACAAAAACGATTAAACTTGTTAACTTGTGACATTTAAAGGTGCCATTATTAGGCTCATTGAGCTGAAGGACCAGCAAGTTTATACAACTGCGAGACACTGATCCGTCTCTATGTCCGTCCATCCACAGTTCACAAGAATCTCTACAGGACTTTTGCACAGAATGATCAACTAATCCAAATTATGAACCGAGGTCAATGTTAAGTTCATACTTTTATGAGTTTTATGAGTAATTTTCTATATTTTTGTCTCTTTAATGGCCAAATGAGACACTACGTCACTGACATGCTGGCCTTTTAAAAAATGGTGTAGACAACCAGCTTTCAATGGATGGACAAATAAATCCCTGATGACCTTTCAGCATATTGTGGTTCACAAGTATTAGAGGGAACTAGAGTGCTGCACACGTTTTTCAGGCTTCAGAAAATGTAACTCATGAGAGAGACTTTGGACTTCTCAGACTAGGGCAGATGAACCATTTACCTACCTCACAGCACAATGTTGTACTTAGTAGTTATGTATTAAAAAACTCATTCATATTGTTTCTAGAAAACATAAAAGTTGAAAAGTAAATATTAAATTATAGGAAAAATGTAAACCAACATAAAGTCGTACATAGGAAAACAACTTGAATGAGTTTGCCGTGAATTACAATGCATTCTTAAAATAATGTCTGTTTTGACTTTAATAGTAATTTTATCAGTGGTCACACTTGCTGCCTCCACATGTGGCTATGAATGAATGAGACTGGGCATGTGCAAACTGAACCAGCAGTAGTCTAATTGTTTTATAGCTACCTGGATTTTTTGTGTAGTGTTTGTTTGGATTGTGCAAAGCTTTACCCTTCTGCCTTTTCTTCTCCCTGATGCCCAAAATGCCGTGTGAGCCCATAATTACGTCGACTGTTGTTTCATGTGTACCAGCCTTACCTGGAGGATGTGGAGACTAATTCACGCGTGTTAAAATTGCTTTAATCATCTGCGATGTGTGGTTGTTTCGTGCTGTCGTCAAGCAGTCTGAATGTTTTGTTCGCGTTTTGTGTGGGTGACTAAGAAAAAGAAAAGAAAGAAAAAGACGTGCTCGCTTGCTCGTGCGTGTGCCCAAAAAGAAAAAGAACTGCTTTTCTAAACAAACAACTGTCACCGAGCCTGAAATGAGCCCATTTCTGAAATTTGGCCTTGTCGTTCCACCAGGATTTAATATTGTTTATGAGGTTTGTGTGATTGCTAGCTGCATTTAAGGAAACAAACATTTTGTAACTGTGCAAAAGTTTTTGAGAAGTCTGGATCTCCTGTCCTCCTTATTTCTCTCTCTCTAATCCCGCTGTTTACGTCTACGTTCTTGCTCAAGGCATCCAGTCTAAATCCTACCGTTGTTTTGTTTTTGTTCCAAACCTGTTTCCTCTTTTTAAGAGATCCCTCTCTGGAGGGACAGTAATCAGGGCTGCGCCACCCCCACCCTGTCCTTGTGCAGCCTTAAAAGGCTTCCCCAGCTGGCGTTTTTCTTGATGATGAGGGCTGAGTGTTTATTACTAAACGTTCTGCTCTCTAAACAGCCTCCCCCTCCTCCCACTGATCGGTTAACACGCAGCCTGATGTGCGGACACAGTTCTTGGAAAAAGGGGGACCTGAATGCACATTTATCGAACTGAAATGTAATAAACAAAGACCCATATTGTGTCATCTACTCTGGGAATATGAGGCAACATCTGCTTCTTTTCTGCCAGCAGAGGGCTGTAAATTATATAAGGAAACAAGACAGTGTATTTCACCCAGGCTCTCAAAGCTGGGTTCAAACTTGCACACGTTAGACAGAGATAAAAGTACAAGAAGAGCATCTTAGATGTTATAATATAAAAGTGTTGTTTTCTTGACTTTTTAAAATCATGGCCCGTATTTCATCCTGATTCATTATTAAGTTCTTGTGCTAAGATGAACCTGATTCATTTCTGACACACTACCACTACATCAAAAAAAGTATATGCTTTCACTAAGCAGAGTGTGTCCTCTCCCCCAGGGGTACGGCTGACTGGTTTGGGGTGAGTAAAGACAGCGACAGCACCCAGCGATGGAGGAGGAAGAGCCTGCAGCACTGCAGTCATCTGTACGGGGGTCTGAAGACGCAGGTGATGAGGGAGATGGAGCTTCACAGCCAAGACAATCTCTCCCTTGCCAGCACTGAGACCCCTCCTCCCCTCTACCTCCCACCCCTCCACCCCAGTCATCACCACTATGGCATGCAGAGGGTAGGCCTGCGCCAATGTGGGGGGGGGGCGCATGTTAGAGGGATGGAGACGTAGATGGGCACCTTTTCTTTCGGCACATTTCTCCCCCACCTCTCTCCTCCTGTTCTTCATGTCACATCTTGAAAATCGGGGTCGCTTTAGCGCCTTGCTTTGTTCGCTTTCGTAGGGTTCAATTGATGGGGTCTTAACAGAGAAAGAACTTTTTATTGACGATTTGTTTGACTAACCGCAAAAACAACAAGGCACTGAAAGTCACAATAATGAGTGCAGCACTGATATTAATTATACAGTTACAGATGACGGTTTTTCCAAGTAGCATTTTTAAACACATTAGACGTCTTTAGAAAGCATCAATTATTTCTGTTGTTACACAAAAATATAATTATTTCAGAAAAAAAGAAAAATTACCAGGGTTAATATCATCAGTCCCAAGTTAAAACAGCAAAACTTTGAGCCGTCACTTTAGAAAGCATCAGCCCAAAAGTCAAAGAAGTCATTTTAGAGCTGAGAAAAATAATTATTGAGAGAATGAGGTGGATATAGAAAGTTATCACAGCATTTCAAAGTTATAAGAACTGAAGAATCATCAAGAAATGTCTTCCTTCTCTCACCCCAACTGGTCCCGGCAGATGGCCCCGCCCCTCCCTGAGCCTGGTTCTGTCGGAGGTTTCTTCCTGTTAAAAGGGAGTTTTTCCTTCCCACTGTCGCCAAAGTGCTTGCTCATAAGGAGTCATATGATTGTTGGGTTTTTCTCTGTATCTATTATTGTACGATCTACTGTACAATATAAAGCACATTGAGGCGACTGTTGTTGTGATTTGGCTATATAAAGAAAATTGAATTGAATTGAATTGAATGAATTGAGTCACACAGTACACAGTAATACTAATGTAAGCATTCAAAATAAATCTAGGATGCTGGAAAAGCTGTGTTGAAATTCCTTGCTCTGTTAAATGCTTAAAAATAAAATTTTCATGGCGGGGGAGGGGAGGGGCTAATAATTCTGTACTCCTTTCATTGTGAATTCTGTGTAGCTAATAGCATGTCAGCGTAGCCCGCTAAGTGCTAGTAGCCTAAAAAGCCCTTGGTTTAGCAAATTTATCTGAAACTTTGCCCTTAATTTTAGTATAAAAGATAATATCAGACGTAAAACATAAAGCACATGTCAAGTAAAATCTACTTACCCCCTTTTACATCAATTTAACCCTAATATCGATGTGTATGTGCATCCCTGTTGCCTCTTCTGTTCTGTCGTGTCAATCGAGCTTAAAAGAAAAAGGTTGTGGTGAACCGACACACTTGTGCGACGCGTTGTGTTTGTGTGCAGATCGTAGACCCCCTGGCTCGGGGTCGTGCCTTCCGCAATGTGGAAGAAGTAGACGGCTTGAGCGCCCTGCAAACTCCCATGACGCCCGGCACAGCTTCCCTCTGCTCATTTTCCAGCTCCCGCTCTGCCCTCAATCGTCTCCCACGACGACGCAAGCGAGAATCTGTCGCCGTCATGAGTCTCAAGGCGGCGGCGGCGCTAATGAAGGTGTATATTTGTTGTTTATTCCAGAATTCCTACCTAAGACGGTCTTGCTGTCTTTGAATTCTTCTACACTGCTGCCTGTCAAGATAGTCATGCATGTTCGTCCTTCTTGGTATTAAAAGCTTATGCAACAGATTCTAGTAAGATAGCCCATAAAAGGACTTTGATTTACGTTAAGTTATTTCTTATTTGTCCCAGAAAAAATCCACTTACCATAATGATTTGGCAGGTTTTTCTTCTGTACACAAGCATGTTGTGTAAAACAGGAGATTTGCGTGTCCTGTTGGGGATAAAGTCAGGCGCTATACTTTACAGCAGTGTGCACGTGACTGTCCTTGTGTGAACCACGAGCTACAGAACACATATGTAAAGCAATTATGCTGCTGTTCAGAGTGTGTGTGTGTGTGGTGGGTGGGGATTGTTGGGGGTTTTACCAGCAGATGATCCGTGACAACACCAGTGAATGCTCAGTTATCTGCTGCTTTGTTTTCAAAGCACTCTGGAAGAGCTGAGCTCATATAGGTGCAAACCTGCAGAGGCCACATCGCATCATTAAGAAACGATACGCGGTCTCACTCTTTTGCATCAGTGCTTAGGTTTAGTTACCAAAAACTACTTGGGGAAGATTTAGGAAAAGTTTCACTACTGTGTTGTTCTCTTTTTGCTTGTGTTTTTTTCCAGCAGGTGATCAAACTGATCCTTTGTATCTTTTCTCTCTGTCTCTCTTCTCCTCTGTTTTTCTTTCCCTCTCCTTCTGTTGAGCTTCTTCCCAACTTCTCTTTTCTTAAAAGTAAAATAAATAAATAATGCAGATCGAACAAGCAATGACAATCAAGTAGACCAGTATGGGAAACGGCATAATGATCCACTTGGGAAAGTAAATCTATTGGGCATTTTTCTGGTTGCTACAGTGACAGACAGGCCAAAAAACATGATACTTAGATATTTCATTTAAGTGTGACGCCGAGGGGTTCATAGGTGAGCAGGTTAGAGCTTTTTCACTATTACCATGAACCTAGTGAGCCACCTTGTGTGCATTTGTGTCACCAGTAGCTTTGACAAAAAATGGTGATATTTTGTCTCCATTAATAGAAACCAGCTCTCATTTCGCAATGATAAAGTAATACCTTTATTATTAAGGTGCTTTTGTCGATGTGATTTAGAAAATTTCCTCCATCTTTGTTTGAAATGTCCTGTTTATGATCGTTTCTCAGGGCCGGACGTTAGGCGAGAGCACCGCTGGGCGGCGGCGCAGACGGAGTTTCATGCCTCCTAGTTTCTTCGAAGATGACACTGCGGATTTCCCCGATGACCTAGATACTTCTTTCTTCACCAGAGTGAGCAGTGGACACACTCTCCCAAAGCGACTTTTAGTCACTGTGACAATCATTTGAATTCACAGATTGATAAAGCTTGCATTTTTTCGTTCAGAACTTCCTGCAGCATAATTTTCAGTTCTGCAGTCTTCTGCAATCTTCTGAATGCGATAGCCCGCAGAGGCTTCATGTAGCAAAAACATGTGTGCTTATTTCTGTGAAATAAATTAAAAATACTGTCTACGATGTATTTATGAGATGAGTCTTTGCAGGAAGGCCTGCAGGATGAGTTGTCCAGCTATGCTGACGAGGTTTTTGAGACTCCGTCGGAGGCTGCCCTCAAACAGCTAGATGAGAGCGAGCTCACGGGAAGCGCTCTGGATAGGAACGAACTAGAGAGGAGTCATCTCATGATGTAGGTCTCCACCGTATCCTTCACATGCACACAAAAAAATGAAAGGAGCTGCAATCCCTTAGAATGCTTCCTCCTCCCCGATTCAGGCCTTTAGAGCGAGGGTGGCGGAAGGCAAAATCCGGCTCTGCGGTCCAACCCAAAGTCCGCCTGAAACAGGAGGTGGTGAGCGTCAACAGCCATCAGCAGCGAGGGCAAAGAATCGTGGTTCCGGTTAAGAAGCTTTTTGCCAGAGAGAAGAGGCCATACGGGCTGGGCATAGTCGGACGTCTCACTAACCGGTCGTATCGCAAACGCATAGACAGCTACGTCAAGCGGCAGATTGAAGACATGGATGATCACAGGTGAGACAGGATGTGGCTGTTTAGAAATGTTTAAATGCAAAAAGTAAACAATGCATTAAAAATGCTTCCCTCTCCAGGCCTTTTTTTACCTACTGGATCACCTGCGTCCACCTGCTCATTACCATTCTGGCTGTCACCATTTACGGTATTGCCCCTATCGGCTTCTCGCAACACGAAACTGTCGACTCGGTAAGTAAAGTGTTCGACTTTTATAAGGGTTTAATGCTGCTTTGTTACAAATTTTTGAATATTGAGATTTTTATTTTTTATTATTTTTTTATTTTTGAGGTGCTGAGGAACAAGGGGGTTTACGAAAACGTGAAGTTTGTGCAACAGCAAAACTTCTGGGTGGGTCCGAGCTCTGTAAGTGCTTCCAGTCTTTTATCCACCGCCTTTCACACTACTAAAAATCGCAGGCAAGTTAGAATCTCAGTGACCTCTGCCTCAAGGTCAGAGGTCAGAAGTCGAGTTTTCTAAAAATCTTGTGAATGCGATAATTAAAGAACAAAGTGATGTAGAAATGAAAGAGGCTGTACGCCCTCTTTAACCATAAGTGTATATAATCTGCTCATGTATTCATGAACACTTGTTGTATTAGCTACTAATACACACAAATATCATATAAATATAATGTATAAATAGTACAATAAAGCAATGGAAAAATGGTTAAGTGTTAGTTTAAAGTTAAATGATTCAAACGCATGTCGAAATTAAATGCATGTATGATTTTTGACTAAATAAAGGAATAAATGGTTAAAATATACATTTTCTGTTGTAGTAGTATTTAAACACACCAGGTTCCATATTTAAATTAATGACACAATCTTCAGTTGAAATGAATGCGCAAATGTATTTGTTTGTTTCCTGTGGCTGGTGTCTTGAAAGACTTATTTGACAGAGGCGTAGTGTTAGGATCTACATGGACATTTTTCTTTTCAAATTGTCACGTCATCTCTTCTTCGCCACAGGAAGCGCTGATTCACCTGGGAGCCAAGTTTTCCCCGTGCATGCGTCAGGATGAAGAGATCCACAAGCTGATCCAGGAGAAGCGAGCACTAGAGAGAGAATCGGGCTGCTGTGTGAGGAATGATCGCTCCGGCTGCCTGCAGACTCTACAGGAGGAGTGTTCGGTCAGTCGCACCAGCTTAGATTTGAAAGAGTCTCAGCACCAACCATGACCTGTTTATTTCAGGCACACTATGATTTTATTGAAACTTGTCCTCAGAAAATGATACCTTACTGATGGGCAGGTCACTTACCAATTGGAAGGTTGATGGTTTGATCCCTGTCTGCTCCAGTCTGCATGCCAAATATCTTTGTGCAAGATATTAACCCCAAGTTGCTCTCTGATGCTGTTGGAGTGTGTATGCATGTTAGGTAGAAAACAGTGAATGAAGCATGTTGTGTAAAGCACTTTCAGTACTCAGATAGTGCTATACAAGAACCAGTCCATTGACGTATAGTGTCAGTGCATTCTGAATATACATGGCATGTCTTTGCTCTGCAGAGCACACTGGCAGTGTGGGTGAAGTGGCCTCAGCACCCCAGTGCTCCTTCTTTGAACAGTGAACTCCGGCAACATGGTGCCGTTTGCCATCAGGACCCCAGGTAACATGATTATCATTCTTCAGCTTTAATAGAAAACAAATTTGGATGAAGGACTCATAACTTAAGACAAGAGCAACAGTCTGCCGGACAGACTTTGTTTTTATCCATGTGTGGGCTGAGCTGTTGGAGCCGACTTACCCTGCTGGAAGACGTCAGTGTTCACTCTTATTTCTTGTACTTTTGATTTTGCAGAATCTGTCTGGAGCCAGCCTCTGTTTCACCGCATGAGTGGCCGGATGACATCACTTCTTGGCCTGTAAGCGCACTAACATGCTATCAGTCTAACCTCACAACATCCATGCTAAACAGGCCACTGTTCGGAAACTAGGAGATACATTTCCACTGAAGTCTTTAAGCATTTTTCAGTGTTACAGCTAAAATTCGTAACCAAAGCCAAACCCTACCCCTAACTCCAGATGGGCCAAGTGTTCATCTGATACTATTATTTATCAACGAGTAGATACATGGATCAGGTAGTATCAGATAGCAATGGTTCTGTTTCTAAGCCAGTCATATACCAAAAGGCTAAGATGTCTGATTACACAACTGTAGCTCAGTACAACTGTACTGCAAGAGAGTCTCTAAAGACTAATGTAATATTGCATTTAAGTGGTTTGGTTCAAGTCAATGTGAGGCAAACAGTTGTCTCCTTGTGTGTGTGTGGTTTTTTTTTTTTTTCTAAACTGTTGTAACTGTAATCCGATGAGAAACTTTCACTGTGGTTTTGATCTGTAGGTTTGCACAAGGTTCAACTCTGGGAATCACACTAACCTCCCCCACATTGATTGCACCATCACAGGCCGGCCCTGCTGCATCGGAACCAAAGGACGGTGAGGATCGGGATCACTTATTTACAACACGTGCTCAGTAACAGCATCAAACATTAACATCTTTATGGTGCAGTGAAAAAAGGAACTGATCCACCTTTTGATTACATAGTAAAAGGGGTTTGAATAAAAGATTAGTACACTGATCTCTACTTAAAAACCTGAATTCGTGTTGCAGGTGTGAAATAACTTCTAGAGAGTACTGTGATTTTATGCATGGCTACTTCCATGAGGAGGCTACGCTCTGCTCACAGGTAGGACAAACAGCACACACACACCTTTTTTAACTGCATGTTTAAAAACAGTGGCCTGTGTAAATTTGCTCCTTCAAGTGAGAGCCTGGTGATTTAAAACATTGTTGCTCCAGGTGAGGCTCGAACTCACAACCTCGGCATTGCTCTGCAGGTTACTGTCGTATAAGTACCGCGCGCTGACCGATTGCGCCACTGGAGCCTGCAGCACACAGTGCAACAGAATGGACTGTGGACTGCATTCACCTCTGGCACGTTCCACCACAAGGTGGCAGCAGAGCATCACTGACTGTTGTAGCCGTAACCCTGACTGATTGTATTGTTGTTTTCATTTGTGCCAGGTGGCCTGCATGGACGATGTCTGCGGTTTGCTGCCTTTCCTCAACCCAGAGGTCCCTGATCAGTTCTCTCGGCTCTGGTTGTCCCTGTTTCTTCATGCTGGGTGACTGCACTCTTCCTTTCTCCCTTCAGTATTTAAAGCAGCCATGAAGATGTTAAATTATGGGAAAAACTTAGTTGCCTGAATACTTCAGTGAAAATGTGCATGCATTTGTGGAATGTTAAGGATAACTGGTTGCTTGTCCCTGCAGAATTCTGCACTGCTTGGTTTCGGTGTTGTTCCAGATGACGGTGCTGAGGGATATAGAGAAGTTGGCTGGCTGGCTCAGAATCTCTATTATCTACATGCTCAGTGGCATCACTGGCAACCTGGCCTCTGCCATCTTCCTGCCCTATAGAGCAGAGGTACAAGCTGATGTTGATGTTACCAAAAAATATCATAGTTATACATTGTTTTCATTTAGTCGATCTGTGTGCGATCTATAGGTACCTGTCTTTTTCCTCCCAGGTGGGTCCTGCTGGCAGCCAGTTCGGCATCCTGGCTTGTCTTTTTGTGGAGCTGTTTCAGAGCTGGCAGATCCTCGAGCGACCGTGGCGAGCGTTTGCTAAGCTGTTGGCCATCTCTGTGTTCTTCTTCTCTTTCGGTTTGCTTCCCTGGATCGACAACTTTGCCCACATCTGTGGTTTCATTTCCGGTTTCTTCCTGTCCTTCGCCTTCCTCCCATACATCAGGTAAGTGACTATTGCTCTGTGTGCTTTTCTATCCAGGCTTTACTGCATTGGCAGTACATTCGAGGCCATTTTAATGCTAAGAAATGAAGCAGCTGCTAATCAGATGCTTTCTAGATGGTATTACATGGTAGGTCAAAATGTGACCGCACTTTTATGTGTGTTCAGTCCAGCTCTTGTGTAGCTCTTGTGTAATCTAGCATACCTCAGTGTTGTCTGATGGAGTAGAGGGATTAACTGAAGGGCCAGATGCATCTCTTAAACACTTTCATCTACTGTTTATCTGCTTCTACTACTTCTTCTTTCCTCTTTTCTTTTATCTTTTCTATGTTTTTTAAGACAGGCTGCTAGTAACAAAGTGCCTAAAGATACAGTTTAAAACAGATTCTGAACACGAGTGAAAAAGCAGTCAGTGTCCAAAGAAAAGCTGTGAAAGACCTTCAGAAAGCCTGGAGGACTACTGCTGAAGGAAGGTCTGACTCCTTGGAAGCAAAATATAAAGAAATGAAAGGAACGGTTCACATGTTGTGGAAATTGAAGAGACTGAAAACTGTTGCCACTACTTTATATTTAAAGCTAAATTAAGCTGGCGCTAGTTAGCTTAGCTTAGCATTCACTTGGCTTACCTATAGATTCTTTATTCTTTCCTTTGACTGAACGTTTCCTCAGTCTATATGCAGTGTTTTCACTCCCTTCATCACTTTCATGATTTAAGAGGTTTGATGCAAAACAATGACCGTTCTCTGAGGGAAGTAATGATGTCACTGTTGTTTTGTTGTTGTTGTTTTTTCACCCGCCAGCTTCGGCCGTTCCGATATGTACCGAAAGCGAGTCCAAATCTGCGTCTTCCTGCTGATCTTCCTGGGTCTGTTCTCCGCTCTGGCCGTTCTCTTCTACATCTACCCCGTGAAGTGCGACTGGTGCGAGTACCTCACCTGCATCCCCATCACAGACAAGTTCTGCGAGAAGTACGACCTAAACGCACACCTCCTCTGACTGTTAGTCCTTGGAGTCCAAGCTGATGTCCACTGATAAGATTAGGATGTGTGAAATGGTGCTTGGCAGCACTTACGACTGATAAAACCATCAGTATTTCTAGATTTTGTACGGACTGGTGAATTCCAGATGTATTTTTTCAATATACAAAACAACATGCATGAAAGCCTTCAATATGCATGAAAACAAGGAGAACAATGGACTAATAACTGATCTGTGTGTGACTGATCTTGTCCTGGGCTAATCAATGTCCACTTGCACTGGCCAGTAACAGTACACCTTAGTGGCCACATGGAAGTTTTATTTGGTACTTTTTACCCAGCAGTCACAGCTTCCTGGACGCTCTGCCGTGAACTCTAAGGACACAAGGCTCTAAATTCATCAGCGTGCCTTACTGATACAGCACAGCCTCTGACTTTAATGTCTGTGGAAACTGCTTTCAGACACAAATCATGTCAAATATGTTTTTTACTTCAGTATTTGGAGGCTGGAATGCCATTTTGTTTATTTGTTTACCACTCTGGAAACCACAGCCTTTAAAGCACTCCAGTCACAAATGGATGTTCTGTTTTTTTAATATTCACCTCTTTTTTTTATATATATTTGTTTACAAAAAAACAACAACAAAAACAAAAACAGGTGGGTTCATGCGCTCAATTGTAGAAAGCTGTTAAAAGGTGAATTTGTGTATGTGTGTGTGTTTTATTAAAAGTGGTGGCGTTTTAGCTACCTGGCAATGAACACAAGAGGACAAAATCCGTGACTGTGTGTTGTCTGTTCTCAGATAGCCAGAGACTGATGCTTAAACTCACAACCTCAGCATTGCTTCATAAGTTAGTACTCCACGCTACCAGACTGCACCACTGGAGCCCACTGTGTCTGTGGTTTTTGAGTTTGTGAATTGTCATGAATGACTGTGTCTCGCACAGATCTTTTTTTTTAGATGTGTCCTTGATCCAACACAGCTGATTTAAATGGCTAAATGACCTCCTCAACATGTCTTGAAGTTCTCCAGAGGCCTGTTATGAACTAATCATTTGATTCAGGTGTGTTGACCCAGGGTGCGATCTAAAACCTGCAGGACTCCAGCCGTTGAAGCCTGGAGTTCCCCACCCCTATTTTAGACCATGGTTGACAACCAGGGGCAGAACTGGCCTGGAGAAGACTCCAATCTGGTCCGCTGAATGGACTTGGAAAAACTGCATTTTTTGGACTTTTAAATTATTTGAAAACATTTTACAACTTTTTCTGATAACAACACCCCATCCCCACCACCACAGCTGCTCATATTGCACCACAGTAATCAAGTAATAGATAAACAATAAAATTACCAAAAAGTTCCTGTTTTTTCACTACTGACTATATAAATGTATATTTATTTACAACAAATCCACAAAAAAGGCCATTTTCTGTGAGTTAACACAGAAACTTTGTTTTATAATTACAGGACAGTCTGGCCAGTGAGCTACCAGATCATTTTCTGTCATTTTACACATTTATTTCTTAACTTTGAAGTTGTGTTTTTAATACATTAACATCATTAATCACTCCTTGAAATGGAGAATCCATTATAATACACAGAATTCAAAAACACGTACACTTTTTGTTTCAGTGAATATAGATATTTTACTTTACGTTACTGCTAACAGAAGTGATTCTTTTTAAAATTCTGAGTATGGTATATCATAATGAAATTGGCATATAAACTGACCTTTTCGGTTTGTCAGATAATCAGTAACCCTCTCTTGGGCACGCAGAAAGAATCAAATCAGATGTGACGCCTCGTGAGTGCAATAACGTAAGCCGACAATGATGATAGTGCCCTTTTACACTGAAACTATAAACACCATTAAATACTGATGGCTAATTTCTTAACACTGGTCAGAGCCGGACAAATAGAAGTCTAGCTGCGTTTGGGGAACGGCCAATAGATGGCAACCCGAGACCAATAACTTACAGGTTGGGTGAAACATGACCGCCGCTGAGGGTGCGAAGCTCAAATTACAGCAATGCTGTTGTGGTGTTTTCGGGGATTTGAATGTCATTAATTCAAGCAGAAGGTTTATTAGCGTGCAGAGCGCTTATTGCGGCCCCTGATGCTCACCGCGTGTTGCACCGATGGGTTTGTTGACGCCGGCGCTTTCTTCCTCCTCTCTTTGAGCGCGTACGGACACACGCACACGCTGGCGTTTGCATGCACATACACACGTGTGATTGCTCTGGCATTCATTAAGTCTTGTCTGTAATTGACTCTAAATAAGTGCGCACTTATGCTAGAGAGGAGCTAAGAGGACAACACTGATCTGCATACACAATGGAGCAGAAGTCGTCTTTGTACGACTAGCTGGAGTTGACTTTGGTGTTGTGATAATTGTTGTCCTACTCTCTTTTATTATTAATATGCAACTGGGCCAGGAATGCAGGATTAACAATTAATTGACAATTAATTAATTAATCTAAAAATCTCATATTTGATCAAAATCCAACTTGATTAGATGCTTTAAGACAGTTCTGCAAGCATGAAAGAAAAAACAGTAACGCTTCATAATACAGCCTGTGCAAGGGTGTAATTCCCCAGTAATTAAATGGACTTTAAATTGAATTGTAATTATAAGAAACAAACAAATAATAATTATATATGAATGCATAAAAAGAAAGAAAGACAGATAAATTTAAAAAAGAAAAGTTCCACACTCCTTACAGCTTGAGGGCCCTGCGCAGTATCTTTACTGTTCCTATGACTGCGCTCTTCTGGACCGAGATCTTGGATGTTCCTGGGATCTGGAAACACTGGCCCAGTTTGGGGTTTCTGCCCCGACTGCTGCGATTACCACTGGGACCACTGTTGCCTTCACCCTCCACCCTATTTCCCCAGCTTCTCCTGTTCCTTCTTCCTGATCTTGCTGTCACTTTCTATCACTATCACTTGGTTTGTCCGTCTGTATCTAGAAGTTCCACAGGATCTTTGCTTGGTTATGGTCAACCACCTTAGGGCCATCTCCCAATTTGACTCCCATTTTCCCCTATACTATGCCAGCCACTTGGTTCTGGTGTTCCATGTATGCCCTGCCTGCTAGCCTCTTGCTCCCTGCTGTTATGTGCTGGATTGTCTCAGGGGTATCTTTGCACACCCTGTACCTGGGGACCTGCCTGGTGTGGTGTCCTGGTTCCTCAACAACTGAGCCGGTATGGCTTCAGTTATGTGTCTCTCAATCATACCCCAAAGTAAGCTTGAGTAGCATGAAGGATCTAGCCAGGGGACACTTACTGGACGTTTGCCATGGTCAGGATTCAAACCCCAAACCTTTTGTTCCAAAGGCTGTTTTTTTTGTTTGTTGTTTTGTAATCACCAGCAGATTGTGTTAACTTGCAGTGTTTTTTTTTGTTTTAATGAATTTGATTATACGTTGATCAAGTCGAGACTGCCAGTAACCGAGTTGAGATTTTTATACGTAGCATTTAAGTGAAATAAAACCTGAGCACTATAAAAAATCACTGCACTGCTTTGTTTGCACAATTTCTACAGTTGGAACTGTCTGGACTCTTTGGACAGCATGGTGGCACAGTGGGTGGATAAATGGGTAACACTGTTGCCTCACACGAAGAAGGCGCCGAGTTCAACCTCCTTTTTCTCTGTGGGATTATTTAAATTTCATAAACTAAAACTTTGTGGCGATTTGTGATTTTATACTATAAGAAGTCTCCTATGATCTCCTTTTTCTGTGTTGTGTTTATGCTGTATGGCTGAGCAACTAACAGTGACAAGTTAATGACCCTGCGTACAATTCCTGAAAAATAATCTCATTCTGTCATCTACTGGCTGCTTGGTGTAATTAAGGCAGCACCCAAAGCCATTACCCCCCCCT